GGTTGCACGCTGCAAATAGCAATCAAATTTGGCTGGCGATTTACAGCGAATGCACGCTTTGAGGCTTTCACTCTTTTTCAAAGTCTTGGCAACCTAGAAAACAAAACCCCATGGATAAATATTAAGAAAGTCTAAACGTACTTTAGCAAAACCGAGAAAAGTACCTCTGTGCTTCAAGCCAGTTCCCAACCCGGGAGCCAATCGATCAGTGGGCAAGAGATAGCATCACTTGTCAAAGGGTCTAATGGTCACTACTTTTAGATGTGCCTTTTACCTTACAATGCTATTTATAAATTCCATCCCTAATTTAAATACGAACTTTTCTGGCAACATCTTTGCCATGTTTGTCACTTAAGAATGGGTTGCTTTCACCCTTTTTTTGGTAGTGTGGTTTGTTTGTTTATTTAATGGAACCAGGGATCGAACTCAGGCCCTTCTCCTTGCCAGGCAAGTGCTTATTCTACTGAGCTATCTACCCAGCCCTTCACCACTTTTTTTTTTTTTTAATAAGCTAATGACCACAATATAAAGCAGGGATTTTTTTTGTTGTTGTTTTTGTTTTTTCTGTAAAAGTCTTTCATTTCATTGCAAATCACAGGCTCTATTGATTATGGTTTTCAAACTTAAGTTTACAAGATTATCCGTGTATGAGCAGAACTTTTAGTAGAGAGTAGCCAGTGATGTGAGGATACTGCAAGAAGCTTTGGGTAAAAGCTGGACATTCTTTCTTTTTTTTTTTAAATGGCCAAAGGATTTTTTTTTCTTCTCCGAATGCCTTCAGGGCAGCTCTGGCTGGCTTGAGTTCTGGGGATCAAACCACAGCAACCTGAGCCTGACAGCTTTGCTGAAGCAGGCACTGAAAGAGCTAAGCTAAGGGGCAGGCCCCCTGGACATTTCCTGTATACCTCATCTTTGACTTACAAAATGCAGCTAAAATGTAGTGTGAGAATGTTAAACTTTCAAATCATTTTTTAAGAGTAAAAATAAGGAAAGAGAAGTTATCTATTAAAAATCCTTCAATTCTACAGTTACAGTAAAATGAATACCAGTATCAGGTACCATGACCTGGCATGGAATGTACTAATTATTACTGGGGCCAGGGAGATAGCTCAGTGGCGTAAGCACCTGCCTGGCAAGCACAAGGTCCTGAGTTTAATCCCTGGTATTAAAAAAAGTTATTACCTAGAGCCAAAGTGTATTTTTACCTTGACAGTGTCCCATTTCCTTTTAACAATAAATACTGATGTTTCTAACTTGCTGATTGAGCAACATTACCTCAGAGAATTCACTGTGTCGACTATAAGCAGAACTTTTCCGGTCATCCTGCTTGGATAACTTGGCTTGAGCATCTTTCTTGGGAAGCGGCTGCGATGCTGATTTCTGAACAGAAGCTAACGCAGTTCTGATCGTAACATACTCTCTGGTTGAAGCATGTGGTGAAAACTTAATGCTCTTTTCCTAATTAAAAAACATTTAATAGGAATTAAGATTTACTCTCTTATACAAAGTCAGTCACTTAGTTTTTACATACATAAGCAAGATTTACTTGCTCATGCTTAAATAAAGTTACACATAAATACTGAGACAGAAAATCTACCTCATTGGCAGAAAGTAGGAACCACAAACAGAGAAATCATTTTACATTCACAGTCTCTATGATATATTTATAAGACATGTGTTATGTAGCCCAGGCTGGCCTCAATAACCCCCAGCAATCCTCCTGCCTCAGCCTCCTGAGTGCTGGGATCACAGGTTGCGCACCACCATGCCAGGCTCTTTATCATGACTTCTAAGTAACCAAAGTTGAAGTACTCTCAAAAAAACAAATGGTCATTCCACCCATTACCAGAAGATGGCAGTATCCATGTTCAAGTGTCATCTCAATGTTAAGAACACATTTAATATCATTTAGATTTTCTATCATCAATTTAACTATGAACAAATTAAACTTGGACACTTTCAGGAACTTTTTTTTTTTTTTTGGTGGAACCAGGGATTGAACTCAGGCCCTTACCTTTGCGAGGGAAGAGCTTATTCCACTGAGCCATCTCCCCGTCCCCAGGAACTTATTTTTAATCCAAAGCTACACTTCTGGTTAAGCAGCAGTCCTTCCAACTCTAAGACCTAAACTTGTAGTCACGTATAGATCTTGATCCTATAGTTACCAAGTATTTTAGAAAAATAAGTGTATTTTCCCTTCTACAGTAAGAATATGTTAAAAATTTAGTTT